AACAAATGTTTAAACTCAATTATCTCGAAATGAGATAAATGTAAAAATAGGCCCTTTTAATTGAAGACACCCCATATAATTCATCAGTGTTCTGCATTTAAAAACGAATAAACGCCTTATGTTTATCCTTTTCAACTTCAATTTCTTTGTCAAAATAATATCCAACATTAAGTGTTCCACTAATGCTATTCATCTCTGCTGATTGTTGATAATAGACGAATGAGTTATATTTATCTTTTTAACTCCAATTCTATTAAATCAACAATAATCTCTTACTTAGATAATATATTCCATTAGCGTTCCCCATCTTTGTGGATTTTTGACAATACATAAATATCTTATGTTCATCCTTTTCAGCTACAATTTCTTCGTTATATCTTTCTATTACGATTCAAAAAAGTCAATGTAGATTCTTACAAAATGCATTTGTTAATGCCTAATGATAAAATCTACCAATCTATCAGAAAAGATTTCAAAGCCAAAGGACATAAAAACATACTATCAAAAAATCTACTGAAAAGAATATCAAAATCACAATTTCAAGAACCAAAAGACAAAGTTCACCTGAAAAAAAATCCAAAACGCCAGCTCCAAGAACTTGTTCCTATCAATGACAATTTCAAAAATGATAATGACCTTGATGGCGAAATCATTTAAAATGCACATAAGAAATAAAATTTATTCTCTATATTATTAATAATATTTTCTATGTATTAATTCGGGCATACTGCCCATGATACCATGAATTAGTTTCGTGTTAATAAAGAATAAAGATGCAATTTAAAAATACCAGTGCTTATCAGTATATGGCAGTAGTATAGATATCCGCTAGTTTAATTTTATTATGTATAAAAAACCTGAATATATAAATTTTAACATATGAATACGTATGTACGTACATACTAATCTACATAAAATTTTTTTACGTAAAACAAATACGTACGTATATAGACGCTTTTTGCATCTTGTATTAGTGATCTAAAAATCAGCAATATATATGTATATATCATAAGATTTTAATAAATTTGATTGGCTTAACAAATTATCACATGTTTATTGTATTACATTTAACAAATTTGATTGGTTATATTATATTATATATATAGATGATCAATCTAATTATATGCGAATTCTTCAAGAACTTTTTTCAGAATTTGATAATGAGAACGATATTTCTTTACTGCAAAAACAGCAGCCTTTCCAGAAAATCCAAGTTTATAAACACTCATAAAGCGTTCAGAACGACAAGCAAAGTGACAAATCTTTATTAAACTAACAGAGTTTAATGCTCTTAGAATAGTTCTTTTGAGGCCTCTAAAGCTATAATCACAATTAAGTCTTACAATACATTTTGTTTCAGCCCAAAAAGATTCAATATAGTTAAGTTCACAATAGCAAATATGATCGGCTGCTTCAATTACCTCTTGTATACATGATCATTGCGATGCAAAATCAGGTTAAGTGAAAAGAATATGCATGGTACAACATTTTAGCTCTTTCGAATCAGGTCTATTTTTTTTGTATACATTACACCATTTTATAAGACCTTGTACCCATAAATCACATTCTTCAAGTACTTGTCGAATTCTTTTAGGTCTTACTATATCTTTGTCATGTATAAAAAACTATTTAGCTTAATGTTATTATGAAAAAGTAGCATTTTAGTACCATCACCCATGTTTATCTATAAGAACAATAAAGCATCATCAGTATACGTACCATAATTACTACTATTATCAAACATAAATAGTGCTATTTTATTAGAGTGCATTCGTTCAAATATTGGTATAGCATGTTTAGTTAGTTGATTAATAAAATCATTGCATATCCACCAACCATCTCGATTTAAACCTGGATAAATAATAACATAGGCTTTGGTATATTTAAGTTTAATATGTGAATCATTAGGAAGCAGATCATTTATATGATATTCATACTCTGAAAGTTTGAGATATCTAATTGACTGACAAATAAAATCGCTAACATGCATGCTAAGTTCTTGTAACTTGTTATGAAGCATGTTTTTATTTTTTGGACCCCAAACCTTGTGCATGCCATTATTAGCGTAAAATAGAGTCTCATCATAAGTAACAGGGACTATTTCACAAATACCAGAAGGAAGTATTAGTAAAATAACTTGATCTAAATTTTTAACTCCGTAAGTAGTCATTCGTGGTTATAATTCATTTATCTTTTGCAAAAAGTAGTTTCTATATTCGACTACATCTTCACATTTATGACTATCATAATAAATAGTTTTTAAATGGCCTTTATATTTCCATCCAAGTAAGTTTAGCCATCTATATATGGTCGATCTACTAATAGTTGTTCTCTCTGTCAAAAACAGGAATAGTGACATTTTTTATGTAATTTATGAAATTTTGAATAGTAAAGCTAAACTTATTTTCTTTTAAATACTGTTCAATGCTTAATCAGAATTGTTTGTTATATAAGAAAAATTTTATTTTTGTGTGTTTGCTATACTTCGACGCTATTAACTTTCTATTAGCTTTCTATTAGTTTGCCTAAGTACGAATAAGCTATGCAAACCATGGACCTTTACCAAGACTTTCTGCCAAGAGTTTACTCACATATATTTTAGTAAAACGTTGATTTTTAACAAGACAGAGATATTGTCTTGTTGTATTAAGGCGTAAATAATCAACAGTTTCTGTTTTTAATAGTGTATCTAATGATGATATAGAATCATTATCATTAGTACTACTATAGAGAGTCTTATTAGTGCAACTACAAGAAGTTTTATTAGTGCTACTACAGGAGTTTTATTAATGCTACTATGGGGAGTCTTATTAAATGAGCTAATGAATTTCGATGCTGTAGGTTAATTTTTATTGATGGATTCAAATACTGGAGGTTCATTATTTTTAGACAAAGCAGTATTAGTTGATTTAACATGTTGCAAAGACGATTTATTTTTCCAATACATAGTAGTGGCTTTCCTGCAATGTCTTGTATATCTACTTTGTTTTGGCATTTTTTTTTAATTTATTTTTGTTATTTAAATCACAGGTTTCATTAAGATATACTATATAATAAAGTTAAATAAAAATCTAATCTGATATATAGAGTCTTTTTATATATTTACAGCAGAGATCTTTTTCGAATTTTAATATATAGCTGCTCTGCCTTGTTTAGTATGTAGAAAGTGGGTCAGAGATAATTCGAGTTTGCATAAAGAGTGCTTCTTCCTGCATTGCGAATACAAAGTAAAATTTTTAATTATATAATATAATTAAAAATTTTATTTTGTATGTATTCGCAACATATGAAGAAGCATATTTATCTCAAGAATAAAACAATTTCTAATAATACTGATTATATATATATATATATGTATCAATTTATTTTTGATAGCTTATTACGATCTTCACGCAAACACAACTATATCAAAATTGTATCAATAGATTTTAATGTTAACGTTATAGTTTTAGTATGATTTAAACCGAAATCTACCCAAAACTAATTAAAAAAATATATGCATCAATCAGGTAGCAATGTGTATATAGGCATCAATAGAATATTATCTAGTTCTAATTGATGCAGTAGACAACAATATATATATATTGTTGTTTACTTACTTTAGAGGATTATCTACTTATAATGACATGATCAATTTTTTGTCGTCACTCTAACATATATGAATGGTGATGCGATCAATTTTTTGTTATCACTCTAACACATATTGTCATTATTCGAGTGACAAGCATTTTGCATTTGCCTCATCAAAGATAAGATGTTTATAGTCTGCTCACTAGGTAACGTGTGATTTGCATTTGCTTCGTTATTCGAGAGCTATCAAAATATGCAGGTGGCCTGGCATTCGATTTTTATTTTTTACGTTACTCAAATAACAATTATAGAAAATTTTTATCGTTATCCATATGTATGCCAGCTTAGTAGTCATTGCTGATTATTATCATCACTGGGTCACATAGGAAAAAAATATATTTAACGATATATTCAGTTGCATATTATTATTTGTAGAGATATATAGCCAGAGTATTGCTATCAAGTATATCTATATACACGTTATCTGGTCATGTTATATACACGCTATCTGGTTATGCTATCAAAAAATGCTATCAAGTATATTATATTAAAGTATGCCAATTTTGATTGCCAGAATTTTTGATACCAGAAATATATCCTGAGAATATACATAGTAAAAAAGTGGGTTAATTTTGACTAACTATATAGAAAGACAGGTATACAATTTTCATAATTATTATATATATTCTTGCAAAAGACTATACCTGTTAACTACTATCAAATCTATATGTATTTTGCTATAGTTTTCTGCTATATTTTATATAATATACTTCTGCAGAAGACTATAGTAAAATATATATATTATAAATATTATCTGAAAATATTATCAAATCAATTTCACTTATGTTTTAAGATATATTAATTAAAGAATACTATTTTATTTTGCCTCTAGTTAGCTTTGAGTATATATATAAGAAGATGAATATATAACTTTATTTTTTATTATGAATAAATCTGATATTACCTATCTCTCAGTATATGTGTTTTTACTATAGTCTTTTGGCATGATTATTATATATATTCCTGCAAAAGACTACACCTGTTAACTACTATCAAATCTATATGTATTTCGCTATAGTCTTCTGCCATATATATAAAAAATTATAGCCAAACATATCTAAATATATACTATAATAAAATTTTGCAAAAGACTATAACTTATATGTAAATATATTATTATCTAGAATAAAAGAATATTACAATTGCATTTAGCTTAATTTTTTGAGCTTTTTTCTATGATACCCTCTTTTGCTCGATATTTTTTAGCATAAGTATCACAATAGTCATAGTTAAAATATGTTAATTTATTACATTCTTTGCAGGGAACACATATAGGTGAATTTCTGTAAACTTTACATCTTTTTGGATAATAGCATCCCTGATTGCAAACTTCTCCAGTTCTAAGAATATAGAGGCAATGATAAAATACTATAACAATATACTAGTTGATAAAGATATTAATAATTATACTCCAGAATTAATTTTCATTTTAAACTTTTTTTTTGCATTTAATATATCAAAAGTTCTAATATAGTATAAAAAAACCAAATACCAAAAATACTAGTACAGAATACACAACAAACATAGTACAAGAGCAGAAAAACTTTAGCTAGAATTCCAACTTGTAATGATATTATTTCAGAATGTGATAATGGGTTAACAGCTATACTTCAACAAAGCTTGTCAAATAACTAGCCTATATACTTTATACCTAATGATGTGAGTGATGCTACTGAGTATGTAAAAAATATATCTACATATATTCTACGTATTTACAGTACTTTGATTAATAGCCAAAAGGCTAGAGTAGATATTACAGGTATTAAACCTTTCTTCGATATTGTTGTTCTGAATAAAAAACCACTAACTATATTTAAAAGTAGTTTAGTCAAAATCATATCTAAAGTCCTCAAAAGTATATCAAAATTTGGAACCAAAATTATCGATACTTTTCTATTTCACAGTTACCATACAAAAAAAAAACTATATATATATATAATAACATAGAATCAATATGACCGATATAATGTATTAAAAGCAGTTTGTGAGTCTGGTATAAAAACAGTATCTGATGATCTAAATTGTAAGTGCTACTACCGAAAAATAGCTTATGAAAAAAGATTAACTCTTTCTAGTTAGGCAACAATATGTAATTACATATATGATGAGAATATATTTCGAGTACCTATAGATGACTATAACTCAATTAATGAAGATGAATATAAAAATCTATCAATTGCTTTAGCTCTCACATGAGATAAAACACTTGTTCTTACTTGGGTATAGAAACATATAGCAGTCATAAAATAGGAGACCTACTCGATGCAAAAAATAAGAAAGATCAAGTATTTATAATATGTATAATGGTATATTAGAAAGATAATTCCCACCCATTGATACAAATATATTTAGTTGATGTAGAAACGAAATCAGATCCCAACTAGATCACAGTAATATGTAGGAATCAGACCAATTTGCTGAAGGCATTTGCATTATGTTAAAAATATTTAGCTCCCAATATACAGATAGGTTTTAACGATTCACAATATGACTAGCCTTTTATTATAGAAAAAGCCAAAGGTTTAGATATTCTTGAATAGATGTATAATCATATATCACCTGAACCATCAAACGTTAAAGAAATTATAAAATGGAGATATTGGGGAAGTGAGATAAAGATAGCTGATAGAAAATTTTACTCGAAGTATCTCAAAATCCCAGGGTGTATACCTATTGATATTTGTATTTGCTTCAAAAATATATACCTAAAATCAGAAGCAAGTTCACTAAAATATTATTTGAAAAAATATAGATTGGGTAGCAAGATGGATATACCAATAACTATTATGAATAAAAGATATAAAGATGCAATACTTCACCTCTCTAATATATCGGCTAAAAATATGTGTGAAGTTGTGAATTATTGTGTTATAGATGAATTGCGATACTAAGAGCTTATGGTTAAGCATAATGTAATCAATGACTATAGGGAAGTATCATCTATTACATATATATCCCTCTCTGATTCTTATTATTTTGCAGGAGTATGAAAGTATGTAATCTTTTAGGGCTGAAGCTTGGAGCAGTAATATGTTATATAGTATAATTGCTTCAGAAAATACAGAATCTGGTAAGTACTCAGGAGCTTATATTATTATACCGATCAGGGGTGCCAAAAATTAAATTGCAATTAAATTATTACACAATTATATTTAATTGACATTGTTATAAACAAACAATTGCAAAATAATTAATTTACAATTAATTGCAATTATTGTATAAATACAGTAAAGGAAATTTACATATAAGGCCCAAATTTTGAAAAATTTATAATTGCCAAAATAATTTTGCATTATGATAATAGTGGTTCTTCGATGTTATAACTGTATATATGTATTAATTTATACATTTTATAGTTTACTTTTTGGTTAATGAACTTTCTTTTAATCA